TACACGGCCGAGGCTGAGGGTTTGCCTTTTCTTGTCTGGGGTGCTTGCTTGTTGCTTTCGTGGGTGCGTACCTACCTTAGGGTTATGATGACGGCTTTTTCTATCCTTCTCGCTCTTTCTCTCTCACTGTCTCTTGATCTTTCTCTTGGTCTCTCCTTCGACGCACGCACGCATCGAATAGCTATCACGTCTTCACGTTTTCTTCCCTTTCCCGCTGAGCGCCGTAATTTTTAATTCAGGCCAGGCTACAATACGTAATCCGTAGACAGACAGACAGACAGACAGCAACAACACACACAAGCACACTGACGCATACACACGCTCCAAAAGCACTAGTCGCATAGCATTATCCTACCCATCCACCCACACCCATACCCCTACCCCTACCCATGCACGCACTCATCTCCCCACCCCCTCCCATCCCCACAGCCCAGCGGCAAGACATGCACTCTATCGCATAAGACCAGTCGAAAAAAAAAAAAGAAGAAGAAGAAAAAGAAAAGGAAAGAAAAAGTAAGTAAGTAGGTAAGTAGTAGCAGCTAAGTAAGCCAACTGAGCAACCAAGCAAGCACACAAGCCACCAGCCAACAAAAGCCGCACGGCACGTGCCGTCAAAGGGAAAATGATGCACAAGCTCAAGCTCATCCAACCCCGCTCGCTCTGTCTCGGGGTCTGATTGATCTGTATGACCCTAAGCTAGGTAGGTAGGTAGGTAGATTTATAGCGGTGGTAGCGGTGGTGGTGTAGTGTGTCGAAGAAGGCAAAGAAAAAACGCCGGGTGTAGTAGCTAGCCATGGAAGCTGGAGAGGGGGGTGGGGTGGTCTTGCTGCGGCGATGAGAATGAGATGGGAGATATAAGCGGGGAGGAGGGAAGTTGAAAGTCGCAGAATTGCACTGCTCGCTCGGTCTTGATGTGATCTGTTCCGGAACGCCCCGTCCGTTGTTGTGCTATGTTGTGCTGTGCTGTGCTGTGCTGTGTGTGTGTATCCAGGCCGTACTGTTATATGCCGTCGTGTCTTATGGTAGTAGTGGTCGTCATCCTCCTGCGAGCGAATGAGGCTGCGCGCGAACTAGCTGACGTTTGACTGAATTTAACGAGCTTCGTAAGGAAGAAGATGATGATGATGAAGAAGAGAGGCTCAAGTCTGCGTGGAAGCGACGCCGCCCTCCTATACGCCCATCGTGAAGTCGTGCTCGATGCCCGGCGTGACGCTGGCCATAAACTTCAGGAAGACGACGAGGTACTGGTCGACGCGGATAGCGACGTCGTCCTCCTCGGGCGCGTGCGCCTCGTCCAGGACCTCCCACTCATCGCCGTCCGCGTGCTTCTTGGCGGCGTCGACGTCGCGCAGGTCGTCGCGCCTCGCGTCGGCAGAGACGTGCACGCCCTCGAGCTGCTCGGCCAGCCCCTCCATGCCCATGCCGCCCTTGGCCGCGTCCTGCTGGCCCGCCCGGATCTTGGCCAGCCGCAGCTTCAGCGCCGCGTCCGCCCGGTCCAGCAGAACCTTCATGACCGAGGCGTGCTTGCACGGGTGCACCGACGCCATCTTGATGCCCGTCTCGAAGAAGGGGAAGTCCTCCAGCGTCACCGTCTTGTCCTTGTAGTCGCCCACTATGTCCTCCATCATCTGCTCCGGCGCCAGCGGCTCCGACGCCGACTGGTACCCCGACAGGTACAGCCGCGGTGTCCGGTAGTAGGGCGTGTAGGTGATGTAGAGCGTGTAGGTGCGGAGGGGCCTGTTGCCGGCGAGTTAGCCCAGTTCCGTTCGTGCGTAGAAGCAGCAGCAGCAGCAAGGGAGGTGTTACTCACGCCGTGGTGCCCGCGGCCTTGGTATCACGGATGATGGCCTCCTCATCATCCTCCTCATCCTCCATATCCGGAATCTCCTCCTCAACCTCAACAGCATCCACATCGACCTCACCCCTCTCATCCACGGTCCTCACCCTCGCGGCTTCCTGGCTCGCGCCCAGATCGCCCCTCCCGCTGCCACCGGTGCGGAACCAGCCGTCGTCGTCGCCCTCGCCCCCCGCCCCGCCCGCAAACCCGTCCCCGACAACCGTGCCCTCGTCGCCGCCCTCGCCCGCAAAGTTGTCATCCAGCCGCCGCTGGCACGGCACCCCGCGCGTCACCAGGAACTGCTTGCCCTCGGGCAGGTAGCTGACGCGCTTGGCGGGCGACGCCGCGTCCGCCCACGCCCACGACGGGAACTTGTACACCAGGAAGTCGCCCGCGGCGACAAACTCCTCGGGCGTTATCTGCCCCGTTGCGCGGAACGTCGACGTGTGCGTGACCGGGGCGTACGTGTCGCGTAGCGTGTTGAGCGTGCTGCGGAGGTAGTTCATGGCGGCGGTTTAGCGTGAGGCTGCGTGCTTGGTTGCGGGGCTGATCTCGGTGGTGGGTAAGAGAGATGCAGGGTTGTGGTTTGTTTGGTTGTTGGTTGTGGTGCGCTCGTCGTGGTGCGTTTGTAGGTGTTGGGTTGGTTGCCGGCTCGAGATGTAAGGTTCTCAACGGGTATCTCTGAGAGAGGTAGGTGAAAGGGAGTCGGAGCTGAACAACGAGCGTTGGTCAAGCGATGATGCCTTGTGGCGGGCGGTGAAGCGATAGGCGCCGTATATCGCAGCACGCCCGGCGTACATCCCAGCACGACCGCGGTTAAGCGCATGTGATCTCACCACATGACAAGGTACCCCCGCTTATGACCTGGCAAAGTGACTGTGACTAGATACTCGATTCTCGATTCTCTATCCTCTGATATCTACTACTATTCGTCCCTCCCTTCACTGAGTCCATGCCATAAACCCCCTCCCTATCCACTAAGTCCTATACATCTAGATGGTATTACTGCCATAGGGCTTCCACGAGGACTAGATAGAAGGGACATGTAAGTACCCGGTGTAAGCGGTAATACCTCCACACCGCTCTGCCATGTACGTCAACTTTGGAGGCCGTCTTGGCATATCCAACAGCAATGGCTACCGTTCAGTGAAGCGGACCCAGCAAAGCGCCTGCGCACCATCCTACCTTCTCAGATATAACAAACAAGCGTAGTGTTTGCCTGCTCCGACAGAAATGCCCACGCCGCGCAGCGGTTGAGTGTTTTGTCTGCTCTGCTTGCACCAGAGGTCTAGTATGCAGGCAGCAGTGGATCTATCCACCACACCAGTCTGTCATCCCTGTTGACACTGCAACAAGCCTGCCTTGACGATACATGGCAAATCTTTTCTTCATCGCGTAGTATAACGTCGACCGGTGGGTCAAGGCGAGCAACAGTAGAGAGATGAGTGCGGGTGTCCATGCCGAGACTGGTGCGCGGCGGCAGCAGTACCTACCTACCTACCTACCTAGTTGTACAGACATATGGCCTAGCCCAGCCCAGCCCAGACCAGTGCACTAGCAAAGCAAGTTCTTGACCCTACCCAACAGCCCACTGGGAGGGGGCGCGTCCGGTCCCAAGACCACCAAGTCGATCAAGGCTTGGGCCGCGCCATCATGGTACTTCCATATCAAGTCGAACCACTCCACAGCCATAGCTGTGCGTGCATCGAGCCGCTTGGTCAGCGAGCCTGGGCCGGGCTTCGCGCTCGCGATCAACGACACCTCCGCCATGCTCAACGGCCGCTGCGTCGGGGGTACGAGGTGGTAGCGCCATTCGACGGGCGGGTTCGCGGCCAGCTGGTGCTGGTCGGCGCGCGTCTCTGCGTCGGCGATGGCATCCACCGGCGTCGCATACATCTTGCCGAGCTCGTATGCCGCCTCGACGTGGCCCGATGCTGCAGCCTTAGTCATCGATGTAACCCACTGAGCGCTGTGCAGCGGCAGGAGAGTCGCGAGCCAATAGTGCCCCTCCGGATCGTTGGCTCCGTATGCACTCGTTTTGAAGGCTTTAAGTGCCATTTTAGTGTCGTTGATTGCGAGGTAAAGTTGGCCCAGTGTGGTCCAAGCGCGTATTGACGCAGTCGTCAACTCGTCTTCGACCGAAACGGACGGTTCCTCGCTGATCACTTCCGCGGCAACGGCAGGATCCTCGTCGACTACTTTTTTGGCAGCCTCGACCTCGAAGTGGAGGGCACCTCTGAGCATGAAGATGGCGCCGGGGATGTTGGCTTCGGCCTGATACACCTCGGCCTGTAGCATCATGGCCGTAGTGTTTTTCTCTGCGAGCAGCTGGCCGAAGTGGGCGCGCGCGGGCGCCAACTCGGCGGAGCGAAAGGCCTGTCCTCCTTGTTGTTTGAGGGCGGCGCGTAGCAGGCGGAGGGTGGAGTGGGGCACACCAGCCGCCGACGCCAGCAGCAGCAGCGGCTTAGCAATGGGCCTGCGCTGGCGCAAAGAGACGTACGCGACGGCGTCCAGGTCGGCAACGTCGACGTCATGCTCTACGATGGTCAACGGGCTGCGGGCTCGGCGGGGAGGGAGCACGCACCCTTGCAGATGGCAATGGTCTTGGACGCGCTCAACTTCATGCCGTAGCCATCCAAGGCCTGTAGGACCCCCAGGAGGCTGCGGGGGTGGCTCTCGACCATGCCGGCCTTGGACATGGTGTCGAGTTCTGCGAGAGGAGGCAGTTCCCTGGTATAATACGGGAGGCGCATCGAGGATGGCGGAGCTGAGCGTTCTTTGCGCTTGATGGTGGGCGATCTGGAGGGCGTGGCATATTGGCGGCAGGCGCGACGGCTGAGGGCGCGCGGAGGCGGAATGCGCGGTGGCATTGTATCTGGTCAAGGTATTGGAGGTAGTTGCGGCGGCGGGTCCTGCCTGCCGTTCATCGCTCACCGCCCCGCCAGCTCTTGCTCACCGCCCACAACTTTTTGCGTGCACAGCAGCTCTATCACCCGCGCCTTCCACACTCACTTACACACATTATCTATCCACCATGGTTACCACTCGCGGCGGTCACGACACCAACAGCCCGGCTTCCGTCACCCGCTCCGGCCGGAAGAGAGTCCTCAACGACGACAATCAAACCCCCACCCGCCAGAACAAGCGCAATCGTGCCTCTCTGGACCATGTCAATGTGCCCAAGATCGGTCTGGCCGACGAAGACGTCCTGAGCCCCGCCGCGAAAAGGGCCCTGGAAAATACACAAAGGGAAGAATCGACGCCCAAGAGGGGCAGAGGCCGCCCCAAAAAGTCCGAAGCCGCTCCCGACTCCTCGCCCGCAGACGAGTCCGTCTACGGCACCCCGGCCGGCACCCAGGACACGCCCTCGGTCTATGCCACGCCCGCCACCACCCTGCGCCCCAATGTGCGGCCCACGCCTGGCTCCGCGACGCCGCTGACCCGCATGATGCGCGCGAACAAGTCGACGCCGTCGAAGCCGTCGAAGCTGTCGCAGACGGTCGAGGAAAATGATAACGATGATGAGGAGGAAGAGGAGGAGGAGGAAGAGCCCACGCCCAAGGCTGCGGCGGCAAAGCCAGCTCCGAAGAACACGCGCATCCGCTTCGGCAGCGAGGAGCCGCCCGAGACCAGCGCGAGGAACGAGGTGCCGTCATCGAGCGCAGAGCCAGAGGAGGAAGACGAGAGCGACGACGACGAGGCGCCCGAGGCCGTGTCGGCCACGGCAGCGCAGGAAAAGGCACAAGCAGCCGAGAAAGAAGCCGCCAAGGCCATTGAGAAGTACGCTCTCGAGCCCACAACACGCAAACAAACCAATCGCTAACCCTGCGTACAGGCAAGAAGAAGCACGGCAAAAGAAGCGGGCCGAGCACGCGGCGCGGCAGCGCGACGAAGCCCTCGCCGCCAAGGCCAAGAAGGAGAAGCAAGACAAGCGGCTGCAGAAGCTGGCGCTCGCGGCGGCGGCGGACGACGGCTCGGCCGCCTCGACCACGGCGCCCAGCAGCGCAACGCTGACGCACGCGCCCGCCGCCGCCTTCTCGGCGCGCAACCTGCCCGCCCTGCTGCCCGAGTCGCTGCTGTCTGCCGCACCGGCAGTGCGGCCGCCGACGCCTGAGCCGCCCGCCGCGCACCAGTCCCTGCTGCTGCTGCAGCACCAGCAGCAGCAGCGCCGGCACCTGAAGTTTGCGGACCCCGATGCGAAGCCCGCCAAGGATGTGCGCAAGGGCCCTGTCAAGGTGCGCGTGCTCGACAAGGCGAATCGCGTGTTGCCGCCCAAGGTGAGCAATGGGAGCAAGGGGCTGAGGGACGGGTGGTTGGCGGGGAGACGGGGCGGGCCGGAGAGGAAGAAGGTCGGGGGCGGGTTTTTGAGGAAGTGATGTGGGATGGATGAGTGTGTTGGGGTAGGTGGACATGGAGTGTCTGTTGAAAAGAGGGAGAAGCAGTTGTTCGACCAATTTGGACTGGCTGGATGAAGAGAAAGGGGGTAAGGAACCGTAAAAGCGGACCGAGGCGGTCGGCATGCATGCGGTTTTGCTACATATGTCAAGGCATGGATCGGGCGTTATGGGTTGATTGGTTGGTTCACGTAGGTGGGTAGGGGCGAAGCGATAGTATAAGAGTATAGTAGTAGACGTAAAAAAGCTGGAAGCAATTAAGCGCAGAAGACAACAAGGCATTTAGTACGCAGACGCGTTGAGAGGAGAAGGAAAGGGAAGAAAGAGAGAACAGAAGAATACAATACAGCGGTTTCATGTTCGTACCTACAGTCCGTGTGCCTTTCTGTCGGCGGTGGTCTCGCTTCTGTGCGCTATGCTGCTGCTTGTCTGTTTGTCGGTCTGGTTTTGGTTGTGGTGTGCGGTGGTGCCGTCCGCTCCCGCATACAAACAACCACTCTCTTGCAATCCTGACAGCGTGTAGTGGAAAATGCTTTCTTGAGCAAGCAGGCGTGGCGCAGAGAGCGTGCTACGACCTACCTACCGACGCACAGAATCGACGGACATGGACTGTTATAACGTAGACATTTGCGCGAGGCTGGCTGGCCAGTGGCCTGGTTGGTGGACTGTGCGGGCGGGAAAGAAAAGAGGTGGAGGGAGGGAGAGGGAGGTTTGGAGGGTAGGGCGTAGAGAGTAGAGTGAGGAGCGAGGAGTGTTGAGGACGGAATTCATAGCTCGTCTCTTTCGTAGCTTGCACTGGCACAGCTACTCGTTCGTTCGTTCGTTCGGTCTGGACAGCACTCCCGCTGCCGCTGCCCTGCCTAGGTGGTCCTGCAATGCTCGAACAATGCTCGAACCGCATGCGTGCTCTTTCCCAAAGCCATTCGTTCCCTACTCATTCGCAAAACACAGGTCCATTCAAACAGGTACCTAGCCTCCCACAAACCAAAGCAGCACCCGGGTATAAACAATCCCCAACGCCAAACCCCCAACCCTCTCAACCCCGCAAACACCTCCACACGCGCGCGCGCACGCTCACAAAAGCCGCATAACCCTCTCCTCGACCTCCGCGACCAACGCCCTCGCATTCACCGGCTCCCTGCTATCGCGGCGATTTTCCGTCTCGAGCGTCTTGAGCTGGCCAAACAGCCACAGCTCCTGCATCTGGCGCGTCAGGGTCAGGATGTCCTCTGCGGCGCGGATCTGTCGCGCGAGGTTAGGTAGGTTAGCCCGGTTGTTGTTGCTGCTGCTTTGCTGCTGCGGTATTGGTTGGGCGCGGCCACGTACCAGTGCTGCCGTCTCGACTTGCATCTGGAAGTTCTTGTGCGCCGTGCTGTTGAAGTCGGTCTTGTCGGGCTGTTGCGCACGCAAGCAAACGAACGTCAGCCATCAATGCGGTTCCCTTCTTGTCTTGTCTTGCGGGCGAGCAACAATGGAGATGGCAGGCTAGGGCCCGGTTGGGGATGTGTTTGGGTTTGGATGTGTGCGTGTGTAAAGGAGGCTTACAGCAGCCAGCGCGAGCGTGTTCTCGAAGCGCTTCACCAGCGCCGCCATGAGCTTGTTGGTGCGCTCTGCGATTGCTGTCAGTCGGGTGGTGGTGAGGGATGGAGGCTGAAACGGACCTTGCAGAGCGGCGGCGTTGCGCTGGTTGACGTCCATGCTGGGGAGGGTGTGCGGGTTCGTGAGGGTTGGGTACGGATACTGCGTGTGCTTGGTTGGAGCTTGAGTTCGAGATGGCCTCGGCTTGGGGTGGAATTGGCGTCGGCTCGCGCGCGGCCTATCGATAGATAGATTGATTGGTGTTATCGATAAGTCTAAGTTTTTAGTTTTGCGTCACCCGAAAACAATCATGCGGCAAGTTAATAGCACTGTCTCACGGGATTATTCTATTGTAGGCAACAATAATAGAGGAAGGATAATTGATTCAGTCCTAACTATCAAGTTCGAAGGCAATTTGCAAAGGAGAGGAGTTGCACAATGCGCCGTGCAAAGCAAAACCCAGGCGTCCCAAACCAAACAATAGCCACTGCGACGCAATTTAGAGAGGAAGTTACTCCTCGTCAGACGACTCCTCTTCCTCGCTCTCGGCGTTCTCAAGCCACTGAATGAACTGCTCCGCCGACTTGCGAACCTTCTTGCTGGTGGAAATGTCGACGTACTTCTTGCTGGCCTTGCTGCCCCAAGTCTTGAGCGTCTCCTCGTTGATCAGGTCGTTGTCGTAGAACTTCATGAGAATGGCAGAGACCTGAGGAATGAGGTTGGGCTTCTCAATACCGACAAAGCGCTCGATACCACCCAAGAATGCCTTCTCGTGCTTGTCAGAAGTGATCATCTTCTTCAGCATGCTGGCGCGACCATCAATCTGCTTGACAATGCTGTCGTCGAAGATGGTCTGGGCCAGGACGGCAAGGGTGCGGTGCTTGGTCTCGATGCCGAGCTCCTTAGCCTTGAGGTAGATCTCGACATCTTCGACCTTGGCAATGCCACCCTTCTCCTGGGCCTTCTGCTGGATCCACTGGCCAAGCTGATCGTAGACGCTGGCACCGTCCTCACCGTCCTCGTCACCAACGACAAGGGCGCGCTTGAGATCGTCAGGGAGGTCCTGCGCACGGGCCTTGACAGCCTCCTCGGAGGTGTCGACAGACCACTGGACCTCCTTGGCTTCGACGGCGGCAAGCTCCTTGGCCTCGGCATTAATACGGCGAGTAAGCTCGTCATCGCTGCCGGCATCGAGCTCGACGTCGCCGTTCTCCTCCGCATCGTCGGCGCCACTGTCACCGTTGCTACCGTTGTTAGAGTCATCCTCGGCACCGTTCTCTCCACCAGCGCGCTCCGCTTCCCTCTTGGCCTTGCGCTCAGCCTTCTTGGAGGCCTTGTCCTTCTTGCCCTTCTTGGGCTGGTTCTTCAGGATGAAGGAGCTGAGCTTGAGGCGAGGGTCGACGTCGGAGCGCTGTCCGCAGGCCTTGCAGTCAAGGATGATGTTACCCTCCTTAATCTTGACTTCCGTCTCGGGGTTCTTGCACTTCTTGCAAAGAACGAACCTCGAGATGAAGCCGTCGAGATAGTCCTGAAGCTTGGAAGCCTCGTGGGCACCGTTGATGATCCAACGGTCATCGGTAGGGTTGATGTTGGTCTGGGCACCCAACTCGAATCCGAAGTACTTGATGACATCTACGCAGCGCCATGTTAGTGGGCGTAAGACAAGCCAAGGCTCCGAGATAACTTACAGGAAGGAGGACGCGCAAGCTGCTGGGCAACGTTGGCGAGGTTGACAATGACGGTCTTGATACCGTTGCCCTTGCCCTCGATCTTGGACTGCAGGCGCTCCATCTTGTAACGGTAGAAGGGATCGGTGACATCCCGGCGGACGTTAAGGTTGGCCATTTTTGCTGTGGAGAATGGGTTTCTTGTTTTTAAGGCGAGAAGCGGGGTTGGAGGTTATTGGGGAGGTTGTGAGGGCTTTGATGGACAAAAAAAGACATGCAGTAAAAGCAAGTCTTTAGTTATGCTTGGAGGATATTTTTGTTTTTACTTTTGAGATCGATGTCGGTCTTTTTAGAAAGTCGGACTAGCCGTTGGTGCAATGGTAGCTGCTACTAGGCCTTCGTATGTCACGGAATTTTTGCAGCTTCGGCGGCGGTTCCTGTCTGAAAGCGTTGGCACGGGGCGAATACATATACAGCCGCTGTGTTCTGGATATGTTGTTGTGTGGCGTTATGCGAAGTCCTAAGTAGAGGCGGAGGTGGGTGCGGAGCAGCTGGGTAGCTTGACTCCTCGGGGCGTAGTTGGGCCTGGCGCGGGCGGCGGTTTGCTGGCAGTGTTTGGTTATCGCAAAGCCTGTGGGCTGTCGCGGCTGTCCTTGTGAGAAGTTGGTTTGCAGACGTGGCGAAGAGCGGAGGTTGGTGGTTTAAGAAGGGAAGAGATTTTGGAACTTAATAATCCTCGGGCCACACCGATCGCGCGGACAAAAGCCGAACACTAACACGCCTTCCACTTCCGCCTGCTTCCTTTTGTCCTGCACATACCTGTTACACCCGCGCACCCTCCTTCCATCGCCCGCTTTTTCAAGACCCAGTCCTGTACTCTGTAGCTCTGTGTCACCATGTCCCGTCTACATATTTCGCTCATGATTCATGGCTCCCATGGATAGGAAACGTCAACCTATTTTTGTTTCGATCTCGCAGATCATACCGTCCCAACCAAGCAACGGGGGCGAAAGTGGCGGAGGCCTGCTTCAAGGCCACCAAAGCAGGTAACAATGCGGGCTTCAGTCAGCCAGCTGGTCTTACATACTCCATCAGCCATCATAGCAATCTCTAGGCAGCCATCATTCGCAGTTTCAGAAAAACATAATAAATTCAAACGTCTTTTTAGTCTATTGTTCTACGATCACAAAGATGAGCTCCCCAGACCAGTCTAGTTTCTACCGACGCCAGTGCGAAAAAGACAAGAGCAGTGAGTGGCAAAGGGACAAAGCAGGAGCAAACGGCAAACACATCGGCACATCGGTCCCATTCACCTATCCCCCTAGTCGCTTACAGCGGATCTGCGCCCCAGTGACAGGTAAGTACTTGGCCGAGAGCCTCGTATCGAGCCTCGCGCTCCGGATCATCGAGAATGCTGTCCATGGTGGTCTGGGCTTCGGCTGCGGCCTCGTCACCTGCCATGTCCTTCAAGTAGACTGTTGCCGGCACAGTCGGGTCCCACCTGTCGAAAGCCCACTCACCAGCGGTCGGTAGCGCGACGAGGCGGTTGAGAAGTGCCACTCCAACATAGGGGTGATATATGGGTAGCTCAGGGCCGGATTCATCCGTCGTGTAGTCCGAAGACCAGGGACTATAATCTCCCTGCGAGTAACCATCTCCTTGCGAGCTACTGTACATGGTCGCGTTCCAAGGCGTCTCGGAAGTCACCGGCGAGGGCGGCGGCGGCGGCGGCAACGACTCCAAAAAATCTTCCTCGACATAGTCTGGTAAAAAGTCCTGGGAGCCCAGAGCCGTTTCAAGTGCCAAAGCCAGCGGCGAATATGGCATCTCCAAACGTTCGTCGACAGTCTCCGGTGAAGGATTTAGAGAGCGACACCGAAGCCTCCCGCGCAACGACATCGCGTTCTTCTTGGTGGGTACGTGCTCCTTGTCGTCAGGGGAGCAGGTGCGCTTCTTGCACGAGCATCTGACCGGGGACATTGTAGAGCTGGACCTGCGGGCAGACATGCTTGGTGAAGTGGCGATGTAAGCCAGATGGCTTGCGGCGTCAACCGTGATGCTAGTGAGGAAGACGAGAGTTGGATAGTCGTGATTGCCAGTACGATGTTGATACAATAAGACGAAGACTGTATTCGGAGTATGTGTGTGTTTTGGAAAGCTTCTTTTGAAGGAGTTTATATTGAAGATACAACACTGTCTGACTTGCTAGTTGGGCTCAACTCGTTGCTGCTGGTTGGATCGTTCACTTTCTCGTTAGTCTTTGCGTACATATGTACGGGCATACATAGGGTGACCCAACGTTGTCATCGTAAGCGATGTCTCGAGAATGTTGTATATGTAGACAATGCTAGAAGTGTAGAGTAAAACAACACCAGCGACGTTGCAACAAAGTTTGACCAACTCTTTCCACAGACAAGAGGTTCGTACAGACTGAAACATACAGAAACAGAGCGGGATGTTTCAGTAAGGAGCGTTAGTCCTGTGGGGCTGCAACTAAGCAAGGACAAAAAAAAAAAAAAAAAACGGATAAACATACGCAGCAACAGTGCATGTCTTACCAAAAAAGAAATACTCGTAATAAAAATGGAATACATTGGAGGAAAAGCGGGAAACCACAACCGGCTATATACAAACCTACTACCGAGATCATTTCCTTACTCTATCTAGGTGGTATCACGACACACCAGTCCTCTAGAGTCGTCTGGACCCTTCTCAAGTCCGGCACAAAAGCGCTCACCTCAATTACAAAGCACCCAGCTCCTTCAGCTTGCCGATCATGCCATCCACATCCTGGACCTTCTGGCCGCCCTGCCTCTCCGGCGGCTCCGTGACCTTGACCGTCTGCAGCCGCCTCTTGAGGTCAACACCATAGTCCTCCAGGGCCTTCTTGACCAGCGGCTTCTTCTTCGCCTTCATAATGTTGGAGAGGGAGGCGTAGCGCGGCTCGTTCAGGCGCAAGTCGGTGGTGATGACCATGGGCAGCTTCGCGCGCAGCGTCTCGACGCCACCATCAACCTCGCGCGTGACGGTGCAGGTATCGTTCTCGATCTCGACCTTGCTGGCCTGGGTAGCCTGGGGCCAGTTCAGCAAGCCCGCGAGCATCTGGCCCGTCTGGTTGGCGTCGTCGTCGATGCTCTGCTTGCCCAGGATGACGAGGTTTGCCTTTTCCTCCTCGACGGCCTTCTGCAGCATCTTTGCGACGTTGAGCGGCTCCAGCTCGCCGCCGTCCTTGCCCGCCGCCGTCGACTCCGCCATCTGCACGTGGATGGCCCGGTCCGCGCCCATAGCCATCGCCGTCCGCAGCGTGTCTGCCGCTTTGGCCGGCCCCGCGCTCCACGTGATGATCTCTTCAACGGGCTGCTTGTTGCGCTCGCGCAGCCGGATCGCTTCTTCGACCGACAGCTCGTCGAACGGGTTCATGCTGTGCTTGACGCCGGCCGTCTCGATGGCCGTTTGCGCCTTGTTGATCCGGGGTTTGACCTACGCAGAGCCGCGTGAGTTCGCTAGGCACGACAAAATCGAGGCACATGTTTCCATGCGAGATATCGATCGGGGTCGCTATGGGAGTGTGGTCGGACGGGTTGAGGGACGTACGGCGTAGTCAATGACCCGCTTCACGGGCACCAGAATGCGGAGCTTGGAGGCCATGTTTGCGATATGGCGAGAAACTTTGCGAGACCCTCTTGTCCAGGCGGATGCGTAGCGACTGGGAAATGCGCTGTCCGACCTTGTTGGCGCAGTGTCGGAGTGGTGTCGGTTGTCAGACGCACGAGATGCGGGACCTTTGGTCAAGCTCTTGACAGCCGAAGCCGAGCTCGGCTCATGGAGAATCCTCAAACGGCAATGATTCACAGCGGCGTCGGAGGGCTGAATGCATCAATGCCTCGACACTTTTAAACAATAATATCCAAAGTAATTTTTCTTGTAGAACTTGAATTAAATAATCATGTCCACTGACAATATCTGATTAATTGGTAGGTGCCGAGATTCCTTATTGAGTGAGCTTCAAGTGCGGACCCTCTTGACCTGAATTGCTCCATTGAGCCATACATTCTTCGTACTATTATCCTCACCGTATTTCTCCCATGCCTTCGTTCGCCATATATCCTGCCCGAAACAAATCGGCACTCCCACAATACCTCAACTGATGTGGCTGGAAGAAGAACGACGCGCGCACATGCGAAGTATCGAGACGAGCAGTGCAATGGCCATAATGATGCCGATGATCAAGGCGGTAACCGCAAAGTGCTCCATTGTGAAGACAGGACAGGAAGCTGCGTTGGCGTCAGACGTGGCGTTTTAAGGCGTTGAGCAGATCTGGAGTGAAAGCATGGCTGTCACGGTGAAATGTCTTACTTCGCGTGGCAGAGCAGTCTTACCTGGGACCTTTCAGTGCGAGATGCTCCTGGATCAAGTGCTTGGTTTTGCGTGCGAGCAGGTCTCTGAGAGGACCCAAATGTGTGCGGGTGAGAAGGGTTTTGGCAGACGCATGTCAAGTTGAGCATGCAAAGAGGGTGAAAGAATATTGGTGAAAGAATACTGAGAGAACAAAGACCTGGGAAACTAGCCGTAGCTATGAAATTGAAAAGGCTTTGTTAGGGACATGGTCGTTTACCCCGTTTCCGGACAGCTAGCTATGTTCTACATACGCCTCTTTCTGCACCAACTGAGGTGTCCATTTCTCTTGCGCTGAGGACGACACCCAGGCTGCTGTACCGCTGTACCGAATGGCAACCCTTGAAGATATGCAATGGAAGAACGACTCACCCATCCCCCTCGTCGTTCATTCAGATAGGCTCAAGAAAATTTCAGCAAAATACCCTTCCCAATCACCTTACTCTTCGCCACTTCGCACTGATGCCTTGCAAAGAAAACGAAAAACGCCTGGTATTCCAACCCTTCCAAATGTATCCATCCGCTAGCAAAGTGCGCCTGGCGCCATTGAGCTGAGTTCAGATTTTGATTCCAAACCGAAGTCAGTACGAGACACGGCTAAAATGTTCATTCGGCAGCTTCGCCTTTGCCTTCACCCCCGCTCTTGACCGCAAGAGAAATGGCGATTTTCTTGTGAGGACCATCCTTTTTCAGACTGTTCTTTCTCTGCAAGAGCCCACTCTTGCCATTGCTCGGACTGCCTTTGCTGCCTGCTCCGCTAGAACTTGAGCTACGTCGTTTGGTTTGGCTCGCGATCTTGCCAAGCTCGTCTTCTTCGTCCTCTTCTCTGCGGCGCTTCTCAGATAGACGTTCTGGCGGTGGTGTTGCGAGAGGCGTGCGTTCTCGCGTTGGTGAGGTTTGGGGCGATGAAGAGTTAGGAGGCGTTGCGCTGGTCGCGGGTTGCTCCGATGTCGGCGCCGGCTGGTCTTCTTGCAAGACATCCATTGCATCATCGTCATCCTCGGGATAGTCGACTAGAGGGCGAGCTGGTGATGCACCGTTGGCGGGTTTTGCGGCTGCCGGATCCTCTGGTAGTGTCGTCTCTTCTTCGTCATCAGAGGTGTTGAAGTAAGCCTCTTCCTCGGCATCGGCGTCCTTGAGTCCCTGCCATCTTTGACCACCGCCAATAGTGTGCCGTCCCGGTGTCTCCGTCTCAGTGCTTGCAAACGATGAGTCTGCAGTCGTCTGCGGCTCGTGCATTTGTTCGTAACGTCGGATGAGGTTTTCAAACGTTGACACATAAGTGATGTCTTGGAGCTTTTCCCGGTAGTTCTCCACCAGATGAGCGATAATGACCTTGATGTTCTCGCGTTTGATGAATTCGAACAATTCCAAGCATGCTGAGTTGAGGAGATTGTCGCGAGGCATTGTCTCGTAGACGATGTTCAATATGGGATCGAAGAGTCGATTTTGGATGATCTGCCGGTTGTGGAACTCGTCATGCAGGCCGATACATGTCCGGAAATATTTCAGAGCTGTGAGTTTAAGGTGTTTCTCTGGGCAAGCCATGAGTTGAGCGACGCGCGACGCAAGCCCTTCGGAAAGTATGAAGTATTTGCTCCTATACGAGTGCTGTCGAATAAAGAAGCACAGTACCTCCACCAAATGGGAGTACAGCGACACTTCTTGTATCGTAAGGTCATCCACTATGAGAGATTAGCGTCTCCGGCTCACGAGGACAATCGTTCATCACTTACTTGATTTGCGGTTTTCCAAGTCTTTCAGTGGCTGGAAAAGTTTCTTGGCAGATTCATCATAGAAAGCTTGTATGAAGGTCTCAGTCTGGGGAGCGGTAGGAGTATTGCCGCGCGCTTTGGCGAGGAAGTCACTATTCGCCCGACCCAATGTTTCCATGGTGACGGAATTGGCATTAGGATCCAGCAAAACTTTGATAGCGTCGGCCATCTGCGCCTTCACTCCTAGGTCTGTCTCTACCAGCAGAAGCTCGATGAGCGTATCCGTGAGAGGCTTCTGCTTCTCGTTAATGGCCTTGAAAATTTGGCCCCGCATCATAATCGCGTCGTGGTCAATCAAGGCGACCAGGACGTCTGTTCCAGCGACACGAACGGCAGCATCCGAATGCCTAAGCGCGAAAGTGATGACGGTAAATAACCCACCATGGATGAAGTTGGAGTAGAGCTGCGCGCGCGCATTGGCCTGTAGGTTCTTTGCAACCGTGGTACATTGCTGGATAAACAGCACGGCATCTTTCTTGCGCTGCTGGTTGGTCTCTTGAGGTCCAAAAATACCGAACAATTCCTTGAGGAACGACTGGTTCCCCTGCAAATGCTGAACAATATCCACCTGATGGAAGAATATGAGAGAATTGAGAACAGAGAAGGTCGGGTCGTCAAGGATGCGCGCAAGGACGACGTCCTTGAGGTATTGAAGCCGATACGTATAGTGGATCTTCTTCTTGATTTGCGGATCCTCTATCTTCACGACTTCCTTGAATCTTGACTCATCCGCAAGGTATTGCCTGTGGTTCGCCTTGTGGCTTGGGAAATCCGGGTCGTATTCTAGGGCGCCGACGACTCCAAGGACGACTTCATCTGTCACGGAATACTCGATTATTGCTGTGTCGTTTAGTAATATCAGCGTCTTCATAATGTTGCACAATCGGTGCAGGTCCTCGAGGCTTTCCAAATCCTCGGCAGTCTCCACAAGCGGGACGAGTTTGGTAATGTAGCCGGCTTGGACAATAAATTTCGCTAGCGCATCGCGTCCGGCGGGAGTACTGCTTGCGGCGCGCATCAGGTTCTCGACGTCCGGTAGGTTGCCGAGGTCGGGTTCTGGTAGTATAATCGGGTTGGGACTCATGTCCATCACGTCATCTGAAAGTCCATCGTCTAATAAATGCGCATTAGCAAATTTGTCCTGTTGGGGGGTGCGCGCGCATAGCGCAACGCCCCGTGGGAAGGGGTATACGAACCAGCGCTTGCAAAAGGATTAAGACTCTGTTGCACCTCACTGACGAAGTCCCTAGGAACCGCTTAGCTCACGTCTCGCATGCGCCAAGCAGCGTGCGTCATACCATATCGCCCCACAACCCTCAGCTTCCTGGAAGCTGAGTGCCATATCGGTGCCATTCTGTTCCGTCCACACGATGAGAGTGTCTGCGCTGAGCCTCAGTATGAATCCTTTCGGCCGATGCATGGGTGGCGCTCTTCACCTTGTTGTTTCTGGTAGCCATCGTCCTTGGTGATGCGCGTTTCGAGCAGGGTACGGATGGGTTCGTCTTCGGATTGTACGAAGATTTTGGCTTCGTCCTGCCAGTGGCAAAGCCGGTCAGCGTCATGTGCGACACGAACAACGGCGCGCGCAGCGCCCAGGGGGGGAGGGGG